TGGGGGTCTAGATTGGGGTCCCCTATTTTGGGAAACTACCATATAGGGGATACTAACCCAAACCATGTTTTTAGTTCAACGGACAGAAATCCTACGTGGTTCTATATAGATGCATTGGATCCTTTATCTAGCAAGACTACATCACGCCCTCTTCGTCCACATACCACTGATGCGGCCAGCTCGATTCAAGTCCTACGTGACCTTGTTTGGCATTACTGCCATCCGTGTCGTACCGGTTCTTAGTAGGGACTATATGATCCCTGTTCAACATATTCCCATATTCCCTACTGAGAACCATTAAGGTGTATGCCAAAAGGCATCACTCTTCTGATGTATTTCGCAAGTTCGCTCCGAAATCCTTTGCAACAGCTGCAACGTTGTGTGTGTGCGTCTGGCTCAAGTTAATCTTCGTGTCTGAATGCAGGTTGGGGCCTGCCTGCCATGAACCTGGGGTTCAGGGTTTAGGGCTTAGTAGTTTCCATTTTAGTTTCCATTCTCCTAACATAACCTTGATATATACCCTATCATATTATAATAGTTTCCATTCTATTTTCCATTATCCCAGTATACCACACTTGAGGTAGATGCCAAGATTGTCTGCGCTGGCAGGTGCCATGCCTCTCTTAGTCATGCCCTTGGGCACTGCCACGTATGTGCTTCCAAACCCTCTCTACGGCTACGGTCTCAGGAGCTTGCCAAACCTGGTGGAGGAGGCTGTAGGGCAGATTCTGCCGCAGCCCGCTGCGTGCTGGCCTGGGGAAAGGAATTCGAGCGTGGCACGACGGGCATGCTGCCAAACCGGCAAAACCACACGCGACAAAGGCATGCTTCCGGGCTCCGTACACGAGGCCGCGATGCTGCCATATCTTTTGACCCGATGCGGGGAGAGTCCATTGGTTTAGGAACTAGCATCCCAAACTGGAGCCCATGCCCATGGATTGGCTCGATCAAGATTAGCCTTTGCTGCAGCTGTTGCAGGACCATGGCAGCCCCCACATATCTTGAGGTCCCCTTAGGTATCACCATGTTGCGAAGCCGACATTGCAGGACCAACCGGAGTCTGTACGACTGCGGCCTGTCCACTTCTTGGCATCCTGCGTGCAACATGGGACCAGCTTGTTCTTAACCTGGGGCTTGTGATGAGCAAGCCCAAATGGCGCGAAAGATCGGATGTCTTCCCTCGGCCCCATCGTTGCACAAACTTGAAGAGACTGGCTCATACTTAGTTGGGAAGGGAAAGGGGGGAATGGGATATAGGGATGATTATGGGGGTGTATATGATGACCACAACACGGATGCATGACCCCCATTCCCTCCTGAAGCCCTTCGGTGTAAGATCTCAGCCAGCCTAGACCCTAAATAGACATAAGGTAGTTCCCACTTCCTTCCATACCCAACCCTGGTTTAGGGTTTAGGATTTAGGGCTTGGGGTTTATGGTTTATTGGGTGTAGGATTTAGGGTTTGGGGTTTAGGATGGTTCAGCATAACTGATGAGAAGTGCTGGCCCTTGCTGTCCCGCTCGCTGCTGGATGCCTACACTGGTATGCTGCGCATGTGGAATGGAGAGGTGCGAAATGGTTTAGGGTTTAGGACACGAAATTGGGGTTGCAAGTTCCCGTCTAGGGTTTAGAGTTGTGGGTTTAGGCTTTCTAGCGTGTACCTGGACCCCAAAAGTAAGTAAAATCATGGCCCAAAAGGCAATTGTTCTACATACTTTTGGGGTTAAGGTAGGGCTTAGGATTTAGGGCCTAGGCTTTCTCAACACAGGGTGGCTTTGCGGGGCCTAGTATGAATAGGTGACCTTTGGCAACATGCAAGTGAACATGAATTTCATGAGTCCTAAGACCCCAGAACGGTAATGTATGCTTGCAAGCATGGTATTAACCCTTAGACTTCTGAAAATTCATGACAGCAAGGCACCAAACCTTTAGGGTTTGGGGTTTTGAGGGTTTAGGGTGACTAAACCCTAAACCATACTCTAACTGTCTCAAACGGGGAAGCCTAGGAACGTAGCCCAACAACACGCGGTAAGAGTCATACAGTTGCATGTAAGGGTGTAGAGTTTAGGGGGTAGGGTTCACTGACCAGAGATGTGATCTCGGGGGCCCGGGGGGGCGGGGTGGGGGGTGCGGCGGCAAAGAAAAAGAGCATGGTTCCAATTGTGCCGGTCCATAAATTTATGTGTATATATATATATATGTTTTGGTGTGGTGTTGTGCAAAATAATGCTGAGAAATGCTTGTGTCTCATAGCCTGCATGCCCTCACACATTTCGTGAGGTTGCAGTCCTAAACTAAGCCGTGAGCCCAGACAACAGAACCCAGCGTCGACCCCCCGACCCAAAGTTCCCAGTCCTGTATACATGAAAGGTACATGGAAGACGGCGCCTAACGAAGCGCGGACATTATCCTTTGCCTTCTAAACCCAAACTTGCTTCCCTAGACCCGAACAGTCCTGTTCGGAACACATGTTTTGACGCTTATGGGCCCTAATTCCTCTCACGCTCTTGCAAGGCCCCCCCGAAGAAAAAAGGCAAGTTGACAGGCCCCTCCAAGACAACGCCAGTAAACACTGTTTGCCCAGGGAGCTCCTCTGAGAACATTGGGAAATCATTGGACCCCAGGACAGTGACTTCGCAGCTCAGGGTTTAGCGGTTGGGGTTTGGGGTGAAGGGTTGTCATATGGGGATTACAGAGGGGCTACATGTAAATTATACAGGGTAGGGTTTACAGCGATTGCAGGATAGATCAGGATGTAGGGATTCTGTGAGATTGGGGGTTAGATAGGCGGTGTAGGGCGTAGGTCAGGCGCTGAGGGATGTAGGGTTGTGGGGTGTAGGACGTAAGGTTTAGCTTGGTGTGAGGCAACCAGATACTTCCATATCTTAAGGCTGCTGCTTCGTGGGCTGCAAATAAGTTACCATGAAAGGTGGACATAGCAATGTTAGGGCTTACAGATAAGGGTACCTTCCTTACCTTAAGTTCTACATAGACCCCTGTGTAGCCTCGGTATTTGCCCAGTTTCGAGTTCAACGTTCCATGTTCTTTTCCGTTTGAATTGTGGTAACTTACTGCACAGCAACAGCAACCCAGTTCAGGCCCATGCTGGGGTTTTGAAATCAACCGTGGTGTGGATCTGCTTGAGGCATGTTAATGTGGCCAGGTGCGAACATAACAACCGCACGAAAGGATGTGGGCTCTAGAATTGATTGAGGATTTAGGGTGTAGGATTTAGGGTTTATAGGGNNTTTATAGGGTTTAGGATTTAGGTTAGAGTTTAGGAAGACTGACGCTTCGCATTGGAGTCTTTAAATACCCTACCTAGTGCTGAGCGTTGCAGTGAGAACCTTTGATACCACCCATGCTTGGACCTGGAGTTTTAGGCTATGTGGGGACTGGGCGTAGAGTGCACAGATGCGTGATGTCGGAGTTTGATTCAATGCAGCTATGCATATAGGACTACCATGCCCCCNNGCCCCCCCCCCCCCCCAATATCTAATAAGTCGTAAGCCCGAATAGTCAAAATAACCCCTAAAAAGCCCGTATGCTGAGCGGCCTTTAGTACCCCCATGAATTTACGCTCTTACGTTTTGGAAGGACGCTCGCCAAGACATGCTCACGGCAATCGCGATACCAAAATCATCTTTGCGTTCGAGGAGTGTAGGCGGGATTTAGTGAGTACATGTAGAACCTTAATGACACACATGCCAGTTAGTAGTAATCCCTGTGACCCCAATTATTAACTTACGCTTAGACCCGCCAAAGTTCTGCTACGCTCTTCTTCGTTGTTGCATGGCTGATGCAGGACTGCAAGATGATCTGTCGATCCTCGCCACAGAAAGCCGCACAGTTCACAGAATCCCTAGTTCAGCTGTGCTTCAGGGGGAGTGGGGAAGTGAATATGAGAACCATTACAGGGGAAAGCAGGAGGATTTTTCCGTCGTTGTTCCCCTTCTGGACCGAAAACGCGGTAAATGAAGAACTAATACCGAATGAATCAGGTCGTTCTCCCTTACAGTCACAGTTGAACCAAAAGCAGGAACACTATAATGAAGCCCTTTACAGACGGTTATTAGGAAGGGGAATGAGCCAAGCAATTTCCTGAAAGGGGTTGGTGGCCCAAAATTAAAACCCCGAAACGTCCAAGCATGTCATGCATCCAAAGTCTGTAGCTGCAGCATGGAGTAGCGCAGAAGCCTAAATGACCAATACAATCGCCCCAGCTTCCTTGTATAGTTATGGCAGAAGGTACCCCAAATGGAACTCCAAATGATGTTGCCACTTCTTTCGGCCCCTGCAGTATTAGCCATCAGAGTGGCTCAACAGCGGGCGTTCCAGCGATTTAAAGCAAAGCACTCACAATCAGCAGGAAGAGCAGCCATTGTCCGCAAGGACTGCCGGGTAGCTGACACTACCACATTGGCAGCAGAAACAAAGCATAGAGAAATCAGAGCTATGGAATTGGGTCAGAGATCGTTGGTGGAAGATCTTGTGGATTTGTCAGGTTGCCAGCGGAATCCCTGGTATGCCCACATTCGCCTCAATGAGGATGTGCTTGTGCAGTTTGACACAACTGAATACCACCCGCTCCTTCAGACAGTTTCAGTAGTTGCCGAGGAGTCGCATAATCGCTACAGCTCTGTTGCAGTAGCAAATGGCCGGGCCCTTGTAGACTTCATCCGCCGTCATGCGGGCAACATCTTCATTTTGTCGCTCCTTGACATTGCCATCCTGTCGGAGGATTCGAACACAGCCAGTAGGCTTGTCAACATGGGTGTGCAACAGCGGTGCGATTTCCGCGCCTACTTGTTCTGCAACCCAGTAAAAGGAGTTGCAGATGCCAGAACGGCGAAAGCTCTGCGCGCAGCAAAAAAAAATTCTAGACCGCTGTACGATGCTGAGCTGCTAGCTAGCCAACTTTCACCTGCTGAGTGAATTTTTGAAACCATGTCGAACAAATGCTACTGAATGTTTGAAACACTACCTCCAGAATGTCCCAGGACAGGTTGCGAGCAGATGTCGAGATGTTGGGGCGCGCCCTAGCTGGCACACTGGACTCCGTTCCAGCAATGCTCTTTGACTCTGGAGTGAGTACATCTGCCGTAGATCAAATGGGACGCTTTCTTTTTCGCATCCGCATGCTACCCGGGTATCACCAGCACTCTTACTTCTACTTGAGGATGGACTGCCTCCAGCGTCTTCTGGCTACTGGCATTGACCTTCGATCAATTGTTATCGACCCATTTTCCGCTTTCCAAGTGGCGGTCCTCCAGTTCAAGTTTCTTGGCATACGGCGGTACCTGAAAGCCATCCTTCACCACCTGCGGTGTGTTCAAAAACGTAGGCCTCCGCCACTGCAGACTTTGCTTGAAATGGCCATTCGGTGCGGACAGCTGGATGTTACAAAGCTGCTGATTCTGCGAGGCTAGCTCGCTGACCGCAAGTGATTTGGAAGAACCCTTCTTTCACGAACTGTGGGAGTCAGAGAGGTACATTGACCCCGACGGCATCGAACAGCAGAACCTCTATGAAGTGGCTGTTAACAAACATGTACAATCTGCGGAAGCGGCCCGCTTGGCCTATCACCTATGCAGACATCGGCATCAGGTGGTGCTCGTTCAATGGACGGGTTGGTGGTCACGCCACAGCGGCAGTGTGCATGTTGCTTGGCGGGAAGTGATTAATCGCGTCGCTTCCTTCGCTCTTGCTGTGCCGCCTCTGCCTGAGATTCTACAGCTCCCCCGGCCCTTGGGAACTCGCAACGCTGCCCGACGTGCCGCCCGCCGTCGAGCTAAGGCCGGTTGCCCCCACCCAGTCAACAAGCAAGTGCCTGCAGCCACTACTGCGGTCACAGGATCCATTGAGCACGAGGTGACGAAAGTCATTGAAGAGGCAGGTGTGCAGAAACTAGAGCATTCGCCCTATAAGCCCTATATATTCATGGCTTTAGCCAAAGATACACAACCCTTGCTTTACTACAACAGACACGTTGCCTAGGTGATCCATCCCGAGGAGCAGGCGGTAATGATTTCGGAAAGCGAGGCGAGTGCTACATCCCGGGCTCTCTGGGAGGCGGCCGTGGAGATGAGAGTTGCGGCTTCGAGGACTTGTGATGTCCGGAGTGCAAAATGGTTTGCAAGGTGGAGGTGGCTTACTGGGGTATAGGAGGGAATGATTACATATATATATATATATGGATTATGATCCCTCGTTCCCTACTAACCACCAGAGAGGCAGTACTTAAGTGCATGTGCATGGATCAACCCGCATCGGGTGGATCAACATGCAACTTGCAGGACAGAAGCATCCGAGCTCCACGAGGACGAGTCGCCTTCTGTGCCCAGAGAACAAATCTTCCTCGGCAAGCTGAACCGTATTCCGAAAGAGCTCCGCAACGCCTTTGCTGAAGGCCTGGCGTAGAAAAATGTTCGAGTTGTCACATGAAAGAAGCAGTCAAGAGTAGCGTATTCCAAGCACAATGCCAGCGCATGCGTCTTATCTACCCTTCTGCAATCCCCATACTACCACCACAGAACCCCTACGTACCCAACGCTTCTTAGTAAACCCTCATCCCAGAACCCTACTTCTTGACCCCTCGACCCCCACCCTAAACTGTAAACTCTAAATTAGAAACCTGAATCTTAAGCCTTAAACCCCTAGCCGAAATTCTTACAAATTCCTGAACCTTGACCCTATAAACCTTCCTTGTTGAAGGCCCTGCACTCCGCCGATGCCGCGAAGCACTGGTTGCAGAGGAGTTTTCTTGGATGCTGGGCTCACGTTTGATAGATGTAGTGCTGGGCCAAGCTGATGAGGGTTATGGAGTTCATATAAATGACCATGCTGGGGGACATCAAGCTGATACATATCTCTACTATACATGTGCTGATACACGCACACATTTGGTTTTGGTGTTTATTTAAACTGTTTGTGGGGCCAGCTTGGGGATCTTCATGAAAGGTGGTCTCAGAAGTTGGTGGGATGCCCTTAATTTGGAAAACACACAGCCACGTATTTTTCTGGCCAATATCAGAACTCGAACTACCACAGTTTACGATTATCCGTTTTGCCATCACTAGCATTCTCTTTCTCTTGACTAGAGTTCTACTCGTTCAATTGTAGACAGAATGACTGATGAGCCATCATGGTCATCTAGGAACAACTACCTCAAAATGGAAGCCAAATAAACGGCAACCTACGCTATATATCCCTACAAACCCTGCTTCCCCGGAGGACTGCTAAACCCCTAAAACCCGAACCCTTATTCCCTAAATTCTCAAGCCTCAATCATATATTCTACACCCTCAGCCCTCAGCTCTAAACCCTAAACCCTCAACCCTCAGCTCTAAACCCTAAACCCTAACGGGCTAGTTGGCCCAGGAAGCTGAGCAGTGGTGCCATGATCTTTGTCAACCCTTGGCAGTACAACCATGCCATCATCGCCCTGAAGGATTTGGGGTTTCCCGTTTAGGTGGATATAATTAGGGACTACTTAGGGTTTAAAGGGTATAGAGTGGTTATGAAGTGGAGATTAGGGCTTCCAAAAAATAGGAGTCCAGTTTCTAGCGAATTCTGGTATTGCGGGGCATTGAAGGATGTGAAGCTCTACCCCGACCATGTGATCTTCGCGGAGTCTTTCGAGTACTTAGTTGCGGAGGTGCTTGAGCAGCATGGAACCTGGGTGAAGGATCGAAGCACCCTCGACATCCAGGAAGCGCAGCTAACCTCCGCAGATCCAGATTCTTTGGGCCTGGCAGAGGATGGAGATGAGGAGCTACTGGGTTGCGGTTAATGGATTTGTTTCGAGAAATCACTCTTAATAAGGAAGCCACCTTAACGATATACCTATCATATGGTAACTTAAATCAAGTTGGTTACCATAAATCACTCGAATCAGGAAGCCCCATTATTACCCAAAATATGGTAACTTAAATCAAGTTGGTTACCAGCAACCCAGGCTAAGATCTGACCAGGATCCTGGAGCCTTCACCTCATGGCAGCCCCTCATGTTCGTGAACAAGACGTTCGTCTGCCTGGCTCCTGTAAAGAGCTCCGCCATCACCACGGCATCCAGCACGGACGTGCGCAATCCCAATGCCAACCCACGCCGTGTCGAACCGCCTGAACTTTGAGCGGCCAGTGCTCTTCAGTTTCAACTTCCAAGAAGCAGTCATGCACATTGGGTGTCGAGCTGTGGAGGCATTAAAGCCGCCAGTGCTGTTTTTGTTGTGAGCCATGTTTTTGAACAGTTTTGTAGTTATGCCCGTTGGCCGCAGATGCTGTACAGACCGGAGACGTCCGGGAAGGAATTCGCCTGAGGTAGCCGCATGAGGGATTTTTGGGGGCTTTTACATTATACTACATTTGTTTGGATCATCACGCTCTAGGTTTATTATGCTGAAGGTATGCAAGGGACTAGGAGAGTAATGAAACCGAAATAGTAGTTTCCATTGGCTTTTCCATTATCCCGCTCTAACCCCTATATAAACCCTAAACCCCTAGCTTTTCAGGCATTTGAATGGCAGCGTGGCACTCCACCAAGCAGCAGTCATGCACGTTGGTCGGATGCCCCGGCATGCGGAGGTTCGCCCCCTGCCGCAAAATTGCATACTGCGCTCAGTTGTGCTCAGTGCTTAGGGGGGCTAAACCCTAAACCCTGAACCCTAAGCCTTAAACGCCAAGCAGATTTAGGGGTTCACGGTTTAGAGCCGTGTAGATCTTGAGGTGTGTAGGTGTACCTCAGGCCCTCAACCCTGTAAACGGAGCATGCCCCAAGTAGATTGGGGAGTTTCTCGCAATGTTCCGTGGATAATCCCCTTCCCAGACAATTCAAAAAGCCCCCAATCCCCCCTAGTAGTAGCGCTATGTCAAGGGGATGTTGATGCCGGGGATGGGGGGGTTCATGCATAGGGGAGTGCATAGAGCGAGTAGGGCCCCTACATATCCCTCGAGACATATCGCTCGAGGCCCTAGGGTGGATGGAGGATTTGTTGCACCATTGACGACCCCCAATATGGGTTTAGGGTCTTGGGTTTAGGGCTTATAGGCCATGATATACTACAGTTCGAAAGGCGCTATGCAAGATTTCCTCCCTCCACAGCAATTGAAATGCAGAGCTAGAAATATGGAAAGCTGAGGTTGCCAAAATCCGTTCTTACCAACATACATCCTTTCATATCCCTCTTAAACCACAGTTTTCACCAAATGCTTCGTTTGACAACGGTAGATACGAAACAATCCGCATGACCCTCAGTACAGTAAGTCTTGCGAACTATGCAAGTATACTATGCTAGGTCAGGTATCATTCAGGCACAGCTTCATAGTCGTTGTCTGCTGTTTCCCCCCAAAACTTTCTTTCTGCAAGCCCTCAATTTTTTGAGGAGCTGAGCTTGAATCCCCCCACTTCAAATGAAGGAATCCAACCCAAGGTCCCTATAGTAGTTCCTTAGTCACCCTTAAGTAGATAGAATATCAGGGTTATAATGGGATAATGGAAAAGAAAACGGAAACTACCATTTAGGGTTAAGGGTCTAGAGTCTCCCTTAAAGTAGGTAGAATATGGCTATACAATCCCTGTCAATTTTATTCGAGCCCATTCCCCCATTCCTTACTAAACAAACGAAGCCCTACCCTACATAGTACGGTAGCTTCCATTAGCCCTTCCATACCTGGCACCCTAAACCCTGAAGAGTACCAGGGAGCTCTGAGGGCTAAGGTCTCGCAGACCCTATAGGACACTGAATCATGTTATAGGCATTGGCCTGGCGTTACCTACATGACCTCGAGGCTTAAGAGGAGTGAATAGTATGGTAATCCTTGGACCCTAAATTGAACCCTAAACCCCAAACCATCATTGGGAGGGCTTTCCAATTCAAAGCCATGAAGCCGCTTCAGCTAGACCTTTCAAAGGCCGGCGGGAGTACCGGAGCAGGAGACTTGGGAAGTTTAGGGTCAATTGAGAGTTTTTGGGTGTGGTTTTTTTGGAATTGGCGGCTGATGGCGGCTCAGGAATTGGCCACTTTAGGTTTTGGCGGCACCAATATTTGAAGATCATGCTGGCTGCTTCTCTCAAGATCGAGGATTCTGATATTTTCGTATCGAAAATTGAATTACGGAATGATGATTTCTAAATAGAGATATAAATCTTGATCGAAGATTGATTTCTAAAGAGATCTCAAAATTTCAACGGATCTCCTTCAATCCAAATATTCGTGCGAAAAAAATCATTTGAGATGAGGTTTCTAGATATTCTATCATTATTTCCGACATTTTGAGATTGAAGATAATAATCAATAGTCCAATATTCTTCGTATATATTGGATATCGGATAGATTCTACGATAGGGATATTTATTGAATATATGGTTCCATTGCGGATACGCAAGAGCTCTGCCTCTGGGTATTTATAATGATTTTCAAATTAAAAGGAAGAAATTTCGTTATGCGAGGTTTATAAGAAATTTAAGTAGATATAATTATATTTGTTTGAGGTAAAAAGAACTGCAAAATGATTCGACGTCTGCTTTCTAGTCGTAAAATCTACTATTAACCGCTATCGATAATATTTTAATTAGATTTTATTCTATTTGATCTATCTTTTATCTATTAATTTATATATCTATCTTCGCCAGGGGATATCTGATTCTTATTTATATTTTTTGCGTATTTATAGCTATTAATTGAAATCGATTTATATCAAGTTATCGTTCTATATTTATTTATATGTTGATTGATTCTGACCTTGAATCTTCCTCAATTGAGAAAAATGATTGCTGATAACTAGGACGATCCCCAGCACAGATCGCAATCGATGGATGGAACGTGCAAGAGAGCTTGAATTTAGGACGGAAATCTTATCGAGCTGATTTTCGTTTGCGGTCGATATTGTCTCCTTTTGCGTCTGCGGGATTTTGGGTCGGAGGCGACGTATTTTAATGCATGGCCTGGGGGAACCTGAAATTGTGCGCGCCTTTTTTTTCTGATTTTTTTTTCGACCTCTTTGAATATATAGAGATGGCAAAATTTGGATTTCTCTTTTTTCTCCTATCTAGGTCTCGTATCGCGCAGGAGATCGTGAATTATATTTAATTTATATCTATTTGATTATATCTATTTCTTTAGGTCTCTTTATATATGATAATTAGATTTCTTGGAAATCTTGAAAAACGAGATTTCTTCTTTTTCTCTTCATATAAGGATGGTCCCCAAGGATTATTCTATATATATCTTTAAAAAAATTGGATCGATTTATATCTATTTATCGAGTTTTCTTTATCTATAATTATGTATTTATTTCTTCTCAAATTAATACTAATCGATTATATCTTTCTCTGAATATTTCTCTCTCTGAATATATTTATTTATCGTAAAATCGATATTATTTATTCTATTTATATTCTTCCAAATCGAATTCTCTAATTATATATCTCTCTTTTCTCCTTCTCTCTTCTTGATGAGAGATAATGATATATATTGGAAAAAAGATTTTTTAATTCGATTTTCTTTATTTCGATTATTTGAGATCTATTCGTATGATCATATTTCTAAATATCTATTTCTTATTAAAATCGATAAATTCAATAATATATATTGATTTTTTGGAATTCTTAATAATAATCAGATAATTGATTGATTTCTTTATTTTCTTAGAAATATTAGAATCGAAATATTTATAAAGAATTTGATGAATTCTCTTTATTCTATTTTTATATTTATGAATATTTGATTCTATATATTGAGGGATAGATAATTTTAATATCTATTATATCTTATTTTCTATATATATATTTTTAAATATATTTCTCATTTGATATTCGTATATTTATTGATCATTTTCATCTATATGAATGAATTCGAATTCTTTATCAAATTTATTTGAATCTAATTCTCTATCTCGAAAATTTCAATTTCATTATTATTTGAATCTTTTTTCTTGGAATATTCATATTTATAAGATTAAATATCTCTTCTAGAACGAATAATTGATTTATCTATTGATATCATCGGAATTTTTTAAATAATACGATCGCAGAGAGATTCGTAATTTTGATGATGATAATGAGATCTCAATTTTTTGTTTCTATGATTTCAAGGCAGAAGAAATGAGATAATATCGCGAATTATTTTGAAGTCTTTTTTTTCGTCGGAAGAAGATCTACGAGATGAAAAGATCATAATGATGAATAAATAATATATCAAAATATCATGAGATAATGATGAAGAATAATGAGAATTTGATATCTAATATTTCGATTCTCTCATTCATTTGGATAAATTCATAATTATTTAAATCTATGATCTAGACGGAATCTAATGATATAATTAAATAGATGAAAATTCATTCTTAATCTTGATAAGATTGGGATTAGATTTATCTAATCGTATTCGTCTATCTCTGAATTTCTCTTGATATTGATATTCAAATCTCCATAATCTGATTCTATAAGATTTGGGGCAGGATCTGATGACCTGCGGATGGATATTTTGAAGGAAATCTTTAAATAATTTTCATATTCGGAGATTTTATGTATCTTGCGTAAATTCTTCTAAATTCATCTATATATGGAAGTATCTGATATATTCGGATTTGGGGTCCGGCGGGGGCGGGTTTAGGTCTTAGGGATCTCTAGGATTTAGGAATTTATCCGAAATTCTAAATTTGACCACGTNNCCCAAACCAGAAAAGAAAATTGGATAGCGGGAAAGAATCTTGAATAAATTCATATTCATGAGCAATTAGAGATATTAATCATGATAATTCGTTTCTTCTTTCTTCAATTGACGAATATTATTATTTAGATCCGAGATTTTCATCTATTCTATTTAGGATTAGATTATTCAATAAAAATGAAATCAAGATATGATATATTCAAGAGATATGAAATATATCTTCAATAATAATTTATTGATAATCTTTTTAGAAGAATATTGATAATATATCTCCGTCTCTTCTCGCTTTATTATATATTGATGAAGATCAATTTCCTATCTGATATATGAAGAATCTATGAATATTAAAATAGGAAATCATCAAAATGACGCATAGAGGAAATAATGATTCAATTAAGATTGATTCTTCTATTCTAATCGAATATATTGAGAACAATTTCTATGGAAACCGTATATGGGAGCAA